CGTTATGAGTCGACACTGACTCGATGGCACCTGACAACACTCAAGATTAAAAGGGCAGTATTTACCTGAGAACAAAATTCAGAAGGGTAGGGAAAAGAGGAGGAATGGAAATTCAAAACACAGGGGCGGGGGATAGGTGGTATTTCATGGAGGGAACTGCCGTCATTGAGATGAAACAAAGTATATGATTTGCTGAGTGTAAAACTGATGATATGTAAACCTTCTCTCAAGTCACAACAAAAAGTTAAAACAAAACAAAAACAAAAACAAAAACTTCCTGTGAGTAGCCATCTTCCCGGAGCAGTTCTCCTCTCCAGTAAACTGTTGTTGTTAAGTGCTGTCGAGTTGGAACTCATAGCCACCCTGTACAGGGATTCCAAGGAACAGCTGGTGTGTCTGAACTGCTGAGCGTGTGGTTCACATCCCTGTGCTGATCCGACAGTGCCACACCAGTAAGTTGTGTACTGCATCAAAAGTGATCGGTCATAGTCCTCACCTGCCTGTTCATAGTTAGTGCAATACTGTAAAACAAGAAAGCCACTAGTGATGCTAGAAATGCTCCCAAGAAGCAAAATCATGACGTTATAAGAAAAAGCTGACTTGCCTGAAATGTAGTACTGATGAAATTTTGCAGCTGCAGTTACTCACCATTTCAAGATTTTAAAAAATCCAAAATTTAGGACCATTGTAAAAAAGGAAATTTGTGAAGCCATAGCTATTACACTAACAGGCATGATGAAAACCTTGCACTGTTTGTGAAATATCTTTTTATCTTATATTGAAAGGACAGTTTTTATGTAGGTGAAGTATACATTTAACATATAAAATATATGTTAATAGCCTTACTGGTAAGGTTTTTGATCAACAATGGTTATATTTTTGAAGAGTCAAAAGTTTTAAGCAAATTTCTGACAGTGTAGGGAGGTTGGCACCCCCAAGCCTCGTGTTGTTCAACAGTCCCCTGTACCTCTATTGTATTTCTTTGTCTTGTCTTATAAATCTGTAGAAACTGGTATACTTTTATTCTTTCATTTTCATCAGTTCAAGTCTATTCAAGACTGACAAAAAGAAAAGCAGTGCATGAGATTATAATTTTTCTCCTTCACAAACCTTTCAATAATTAATTGAGTGAATATGTGATACATCTTTGAGTACACTGTTTAGCGCACACCACCAAAAAAACCAAACAGGTGTAAGCCATATCAAAGGAACACAAAGTACAAGGATTCTTCCACAAACACTCAAGCTGATACTGACCTTACAAATAAACCATACAGTTAAGTGCAAGGGTAACATTTCTCCAAATTCAAATCTTAGAGGAATGCATTTTTAGAAGGAAAAATAAAACTAAAAGGAAAACATACGCCCTGTTCAACTCAAATTTATAAGAATCTAAAATAAAAATCTGCAAAATCCATTCCCATAAACATATATAAAACATCTGACTGAAAGCAAAACCCAGCAATTTCCAAATACTTCTCCACACAAAAACGAAGAAAGGTTGCTAATAAGACTAGTTTTCTAATCCAGAGAAGCAGTGATGCCTGAGATGGAGGCAGAGATGATGACATGGAGAGATGGAGCAGTTAGGGACTGTACACACAGAGAGGGAGAGGGGCTGTGTGCTGACGACGGGGGCAGGCTTGTAGTGTATATTCTTTGGTTGGCTGATGATGCATGGAGGGGACTGTAACCATGGCAATGAAACAATATAGGATAGGATGAATGTACAACAAATGCTCTCTGATTTAAACTATCACATAATTCACAATGAAACATTAGAGAAAAAAAAAAAAAGATTAGTGGTTTAAACCCACTGCATACTCCAAGGGAGAAAGATGTGACTATAGGGTCTGGTAGAGTTACAGTCTTGGAAACCGTAGGGCGGTTCTACTTTGTCCTGTCGGGCCACTAAGTATTGGAAAGGACTCAGTGACAGTATTTTTTTGTTTTATTTTCACACAAAAGGAACAAAAATTTGAGTACAATTTGTCACTGTCTAGGAAAACTCCCTCTTAAGAATGAACATAGAGAAACCATTATGCCTGTTCATCAGGAAATTTATACAAGAATGGTCATAGCATTATAAACTAAGGCAAAAACAGAGAACACAAATTTCCATCAGTAGTTGTTGCTGTTGTTAAGTGCCGTCGAGTCGGTTCCTTCTCACACAACTTATTTATCTACCAATAGCATATTGGGTACATAAGTTGTATACTTTTAAGTTTCGTAAATTGAATAATTAAATATAGCAATCCGAATGAGTCTCAAAAAGCTATTAAGCACCCAGAGGGAATGAAAGCAAATACTGTTGAATGATGATACATGGAGATTGTAATCATTGCAATGAATCAATGGTGTAAAGCCTATGTTCTCCCATGTAAGCTATTACTCAGTTCACAATAAATGCATATATATCTAAAGCAAAATAGCAAGTTCCAGAAAAAAAAGTACATATAGCTTTAATCTAGTAATATAACACTTAAAACATGCAAAGTGAAGCAATAGATAATTTCAGTGCATAAACATGTATGGTAAAAATAAACACAAAAACAGAGCAATTAAAAAATGCAAAATTCAAACTAGTTACCTCAGAGAGGAAAGGAATACATAGGATTAGATTGAGGCACAGGGCATTTCAATCTTAATAGAACGTTCTGTCTATCAAATTGGGTGGCTGATAGTAAGATGCCTGTTACATTATTATTTTGTCCATTCGTTTTATATATTATTCTGTATTTTCTCAATGTTAGATAAAAACAAGAATAAAATTCTGAAGTTATCAAAAAAAAAAAAGACTAGTTTTCTAGGATGGTTTTAAAATGTGAAACCTTTAAAAAAAAGTATATATATTTATTTTGCTCTTTCATCATTTCTTCTGTAGTAGAAACATAATATAGTTCTAAACTTTAAATTGCATTGTTGTTAGGTGCCCTTTAGTCGTTACTGACTCAATATAGTGACCCGATGCACAACAGAACAAAACACTGCCGAGTCCTTGGCCAACCTCACAATTGTTGCCATGCTTGAGCCCACTGATACTGCCACTTTGCCAATCTATCTCGTTGGGGCTCTTCCTTTTCCTCTGACTCTCCACTTTACCAAACATGGTATCGTTCTCCAGTGACTGGTCCCTCCTGACAACATGTCTGAAGCATGAAAATGAAGTGTAGCTATCCTGGCCTCCAAGGAGCATTTTGGCTATACTTCTTTCAATACAGATGTTTGTTCTTTTGGCAGCCCATGGTACTTTCAATCACTGTTCAACTTTCTCATGCATATGTTGTTGTTATGTGCCGTGGAGTCGGTTCCGACTCATAGCAACCCTATACAAGGTTTCCGAGGTTTTAAATCATTACGGGAGCAGAAAGCTCCCATGGAACAGCTGGTAGTTTTGAACTGCTGACCTGCATATGAGGAAATTGAAAATACCATGGCTTGGGTCAGGCATACCTTAGTCCTCAAGCCGACATCTTTGCTCTTCAACACTTTAAAAACGTCTTGTGCAGCAGATTTGTCATCATTTGATTTCTTGGAGGCTGCTTCTTCCATGAGTGTTGATGGCTGATCCAAGAAAAATTACTTACTAATAATTGTAATGTCGTCTAGTATCTTGTTTACACCAAATAATAATGAATACGGAGGTGTCAGGAGTCCTGGTGTGGTGCTGTGGGCTAATGTGCTGGGTGCAAGGTTGGCTTGAACCGGCAAGGTTGGCTTAAACCACAAGGTTGGCAGTTTGAGCTCACCAGTCGCTCTTTGGAAACCTCTTACAGGGTCGCTATCAACCAGAACCGACTTGACACTTAACAACAACAACATGGAGGTGTCAAAAGAAAAATAATAGACATCCTACTTTTATTTTAAGGTTTCAGTTTTTCTTACCCAGGAAACCAAATAGTAACTGTAAAAAAAAAAAAAAAAAAAAAAATTACTGTCCCCAAGTAAATTCTGCCAAAGGATTTTTTTTTTCCACCCCAAATTGCTGTTTCTTTCCTGCTCAAAATCAGGCCTTTTAAGAGTCCTGGTGTGGCACTATAGGACATGCACTGGACCACAAGATTTGTTTGAACTGCAAGGTTGGTGGTTCAAACCCACCAGCAGTTCCTTGGAAATCCTATACAGGTTCACTATGAATTGGAACTGACTTGACAGCACTCAACAAAAACACAATAACAAACCGTCTGAGCACTCAGGCTTACTTAAATTACAAACAGTATCATGGCTGCAGATGACCAGATTGCCAGTGACCACCTGGAGAACTGAATCACTCAATCTCAGTTAAAAACTGAAGGTGTGGTTCAATTATGTGGAAATTAGCCAATAGGTGATCATCTATTTTTCTTCCTTCTCTTTATAAGCTTCATTGTTGTGATGCTGTGAAGTGCCATCGAGTCGGTTCCAACCCATAGGGGAACTGAACAGGATTTCTGATGAGTGACTGGTGAGCTTGAACTACCGACCTTTTGGTTCAAACAGACTTTGCAGTTCAGCGCATTAACCCACAGTGCCACACCCAGAGTCCATAAGCTTCATTGTAACCCATCTACTTAGAACCATCTGCTTTTGTTTGGAATCAGAATGGACCTCTGTATGCAGGGAGAACTAGTTGCTCAGAAGAAAACTTAGGTTTTAAATTCTTTAAGTTTTGATTTTTAATAGAGGGAAAGAAGAGCAAAGTTAGTTTCCATTTTGAGTACATTGTTGTTTTTGTTATGTGCCTCGAGTCAGTTCCAACCATAACAACCCTACATAGGGTTTCCGAGGAGCAGCTGTTGAGCTTGAACCACCAGCCTTGCAGTTCAAACAGTTTGAGTACATAATACAATTAAATTGTGCTACAGGCTCAAGACCTTCTTGGCTGAGGAGCATATTGTTTAGCTTCTTTGCTGAATTTCAAAAGTGTTAGTTGAAGCACATCAATATTTGGACACTTTATCCCCATCAGGAGCCAAGAAATAAAGTCCCTAGGTACACATGACATTTAGAAAGATACATACTCAGTCACTGGCAGTTCCTGAACAAGTGGATAATAAGTAGCTGTGCAGCTAGGGAAGACACCTGCTTCTGAGGACTCTGGCCACACTGCATTTAGCCTAGTAAATTTTGGAACAAATGGTTTCACATCTGCTGATAACTTGATGCCCTGAAGGAAAAAAGGGAGATTTGACTACAAGCATTCTGAGATCAACCAATCAAAAGCAAACAAAAAACAGGCTTGAGGGACTCAATTCTAATAGCCCAGAAATGCTAATCCAGGACTTGTGTTCTCACCCTTAAACCTATCAAAGAAAATGGTTTAGTAATGATTTCTTGCCATTTTTTTTTTTTTAGAAAAAGTAGTCTTCAAAATGTTCTCAGTTAAAAACAAGGTCAAGTGGAAATAAAATTCAACCCAGGTTATAGAGTCAAAACCACACTGATGTTTCTTTAAACTTAAAATTTTGGTTTTTTTTTTTTTTTACCTCTTCCTGTTTTGGTTAAGGTTAACCAAACTATTACAGTCAAATATATTCGTGGACTGCGTAAACTAGCACTTAAAATACACCGCAAAAGCTTATTTCCATGAAATTTCTCAAAGGTGATATGAAACATTTCATTCTTACTGAATCACTAAGAGTCTTGTCTTTGCTAAAAAATTAACCTACCGCCATGATCCGCTTCTAGTTGAATTTTTAAAATGCTTTAAAAAAAAAAAAAAACATACATGAAGGTATTTACTTGTACCAACAATTTCATAATCATGGCTTTTAACTAGAGTTTAAAGCTATGTGATTGTTAGGGCTTCACCTAGAGTAGCAGTGAGTATGTAGAGCTGAAACTTTAACGTTTTAAAAACCTAAGGTGTTGTAAAATAAACTACCTCTTCCTAATAGTGAGGTAAACTATTTTACACTCGGGATGTAGGAAGGCAGCAGTTATTTATATCTAGAGTCAAGATATTAAACACAGTTCTAAAGGCTATGGTTTGTTTGCGACCCCGGAAGGCTGGCGGCTCCCCCGCGGCCGCGTTCATGCGCAAGCACAGTCATCAGCCTCTGGCCTACGCCTGCCGGCGACTCTGCATCCCAACTCATGGCCGGGCTCCTGTGCTTCATTACCGCCAGACAAAGACTCGGGGAACTCCCGCCCCTTCGTCCGCCCGCGGCCGATCAACCCAGGAGACCAGGCGAGGCGAGTGAAGCCTCGGAGAGAACGACCATAGGCCCTGAAGGACCATTGGAAGGGGAAGCGCAGACGCCGGCAACTCTCCTCACCCACACGGGCCTCGGGCAGACCCCTAGCAGCCCTCACCTCGCCTTCGGGCTCCCGCGGCTGCTCCGAAGCCATGGTGGGCGGCTCGGAGGAAGCCCTACCGGGAGAAGCCCACAGCCGCTCGGACGGCTAGCGGGACAGACCACCCGGCGTTTCTCCCCTTGTTCTTCCGCTTTTAGAGGAGGCGCCAGGAAGTGCGTCACAGAAACGCGACTGTACTCGCCCTCATCCCGGACGGAAGTCCGATTGAGTAAGTGAAGTGGCACTTTATGGTGCTTCTTCGTGTGACCTGCCTTCTTCTTGTTAAGTGCCATCGAATTGATTCCGACACGTAACGACTATGTATAGGGTTTCCAAGGAGCTGCTGGTGGGTTTGAACCACTGGCCTGTGGTCCAGCGCATTATCCCGCAGCGTCACACCAGGACTTCGAGTCTGAACACTGGGTGCGGCGCGCTGGGCGGTGTTGGGCAGTGCTGCGTCTGTAACTTTGCCTCTGATCCCTTTTCATGTGCTGCCTCTGCACACTCAGTCCCATCTGCCCTGAAGTGTTTGGTTATATAAGGAGAAACAAGCAAAAGTAGCAGCAGTTGAACACAGGATCTGGATGAGCCAGGGCTAGAGACTATACAGTTTACTCGTATCACTTGACAGATTTTGGATTAGGAGGATATGAATGGACAGAACTGCTCTTTGGATAGGTGTTGGCCAGGAACGGCTTCTGGCAGGGAGCTGTTCTCAACAAAAGCGCCTTTGCAGAGGCCATGAGGCTAACTGCTTTACATCCCTTCACCGCACACTAGGGAGTCTTCTTGTGGCATAGTGGGTTAACACGCTGGACTGCAAGGCCTGTTTGAACATCAAGGTCGGCGGTTCAAGCACACAAGCCGCTCCTCGGAAACCCTATTCAAGGTAGCTATGAGTCTGTACCGACTTGATGACACTTTACAACACCACACACCATACTGCATTCCTCAAGGTGGTGTATTCTGGTGTTGCACCTGGGAAACCAAGACTAAGCCATGGAATCAGTTCTGATTCATAGCAACCCTGTATAGGGTTTCCAAGGAGCAGCTGGTGAACTCGAACGACCCACCTTGCTGTTCAAACCGACTTTGCAGTCCAGCACATTAACCCGCAGTGCCACACCATGACTCCAAGATTAAGTTTATTGGCATCCTGAACTTCTAGGACTCCTGGTGTGGCGCTGTAGAATCAGCACTAGACTGCGACCACAAGTTCGGCATTTCAAACTCACCTTTTGTACCTTAGAAATCCTATACAGAGTCAATGTGAGTCAGAACCGACTGACAGCAATTAACAAACTTCCAGAAGTGCCCCGGTGTGGCACTGCTGGATAAGCAGTGGGCAGCAAACCACAAGATCAGCAGTTCAAACCCATCAGCTACTCCTCAGAAATTTTAAGCAGGGTCACTCACAGCACTTAACAACAGAGAAAGTGGCATCCGGATGTATCTCCACCAGATAAGCTCTGAACCCAAGGTTGGTTTGAACTGCAATGTCGATGGTTCAAATCCACCAGCAATTCCTCAGAAACCCTATTTGGGGTTGCTATGAGTTGGAACTCACTCTATGGCACTAAACAACAAACAAAAATGATTGAAGTTGTCAAAGAGTTCATTTTACTTGGATCCACAGTAAATACTCATGAAAGAGGCAGTCAAATAAAACTACATATTACATTAGGGAAATATGTGCATTAGTTTGCAAAAGACTGAGGATTAAGGTGTGCTTCTCCCAAGTCATGATATTTTCAATCACCTCATATACATGTGAAAGCTGGACAATGAAGAAAGAAGACTGTAAAAGAATAAATGCATTAGAATTCTGGTGTTGAAGAATATCGAAAGTACCATAGATTCCAAGAACCAATAAATCTGTCTTGGAAGAAGTCCAACTAGAATGCCCCTTAGAAGCCAGGATGATGAGATTTGTCTCTCGTACTTTGGACATGTTGTCAGGAGGGGCAAGTCCCTGGAGGACATCATGCTTGGTAAGACGGTCAGCAAAAAGGATGAAGATCCCTAATGAGATTAATGAAAGTGACAGCTATGATGAGTACAGGACCAGTATTTCATTCTATTGTGCTATGAGTTGGACTTGAGGTCATAATCACTGCTGTTTTAATTGCATTCAAGGAGATTCCAACTCAGTGACTGTGTAGGGTTTCCAAGAAGCGGCTGATGGGTTTGAACCACTGATCTTGTGGTTAAAATTCCAATGCTTTTCCACATTAAATACTGTCAGGTTGGTTCGACTATAGCAACCCTGTATAGGGTTTCCAAGGAACGGATGGTGAGTTTGAACTGCCAACGTTTCAGTTCAAACCAACCAACCTACAATAACATTCCAGGACCCCATTGTTGTTAAGGGCAGTCTAGTTGGTTCTAACTCATAGCAACCCTGTACAGGGTTTCCGTACAAGGAGCACCTGGCAGGTCTGAACTGCTGACCTTGTGGTTCACAGCCCTGTGCTTGTCCAAGAGCGCCACACCAACAGCCCAGGACTCCATTTTTCATATTCAAAAGCTACAGGCAGTGCAGGAAGCAGACTTCTGTTAACCAAACATGCCAGTGACACCCATACTTCTAGCAGAATGAAATGCATTAGGGTCCAGCAGACCACTGGAGATTGAGGTGAGGCCTGTCACCCTACCCCAGGTGGACTTACCTTTTTAGGCAGTGCAGTAGAGTAAGCACAGGACTGCTAACTGCAAGGTCAGCAACTACCAGTTGCTCCTTGGAAACTCTATACAGAGTGACTGAGTGGAAACCAACACACAGCACTTAACAAGTGTAATGAAGTTTGTTGTGGTGGTGACGCTACAGGACCAAGTAGAATTGCCTGTGGGGTTTTCTAGAGGGAGTCCTGGTACGGTGTTGTACAATAAGCCCTGGACTGCTAATTGCATGATTGGCAATTCAAATCTACCAGGTGCACTTCAGAAAATCAAGGTTGGAAGTCTTGATGGCACTTACCAACAATCTTTACAAAGCAGACTACATTTTTCTCCTGACGATTTTAACCTGACTTCATTTAATAGCTACGTGCTGCTGCATTACCAGGTCTGCTTTCCAATGTCTTATATATATTGCCCTTCTTTAGATGATGAGATCATAACCCCTCCTAAACTGCAGGCACCCATTTGTAAAGACAGACTTAAAGGGGATCAAGCCTGTAAGTCTCAAGTTCCAACGGCTCCTCAATTTCAATTAAGATAAATTACCTATGTTTGCATTTAACAGTAGCCTTTTCTACTGGCTAAAAAGCTGTTTTTGATTCCTGCCTTACCTAACAAGAGACAGCAGGTCTGGCCATACAGCCAAACCATATTTGCACCCTGTAAAACCCCAACATAAAAAGCAAGAGCCAGTGGTCAAAGGGCGGGGCCACAGACAGCAGCTAAGGAGTAAAACCACCTACTGACTTATGGAAAAAGAGGTGTGATTTTTTTTTTCTTCTTTCTCTATTTTTCCTTCAACTCCTGTGTCCCGCCCTGCCACATCTTCTCTACCCAGTCTGGATGTCTTCACATAGGTGGGAGCACACCCCCAGAAGGATCCAGCATTGCACACACATGGTACAACTTTCCCATGGCTCCAAGACCTTGAAAGTCCCAGCTGAAAGTCCACAGGCTAATCCTCTGGTGGGTTCTTATGAGGTCTGACTGTGGGAATTAGCCTGGAAGTTGGCTAATAAATAAAAGCAGGAGCTTTTATTCTTGCTTTACCTAACAAGGGACAGCAAGTCTGGCCATACAGCCGAGCTGTATTTGCTCCCTGTAAAACCTCAACATAAAAGGCAAGAGCCAACACCAACTACTATATACAAGATGAGTGTGTAAACCCAACACCTGTTAAAAACACACTAAAGGAAGAAGGACGCTGTAGATACAGAGAGACCTAACAGATCATCAGAGAAACGAAGTCTGGACAATGTTTCTTGCACACAGTTTTCATTCTCTGTCCATGCACCTCCATGGCAGTGACTAGAGGGGGTGCCTATGGGAGTGGACACCCCCACCGAACCCTGAAGGTTTCCATTGTGCACACACACTTATCTACTCAGCAAAGACTACTGACCTAATTTGCTTTTTTTGTTGTTCTTATTGCTTTTTTTAGTTTTTGCTTTTACTTTTATTTCTGTTTTTTGCCTTTTTGGTCCTAATTTTTTCCTTGAGGTGGGAGCTTTCTCTCCCTACCTTACCCAAGAAGAGACAGCAGTTGTAGCCATATAGCCTAGCTACAAGCATACCCTATAATCTCCCACCGTCTGGGCGGGAGCCAATACCAGCTGCTATACATTACATAGATAGCCAACACTTGCTAAGATTACTCACAGTTGAGTTATGAGACGTGAAAAGGGAAGCCTATCTCTGGAACACATCCACAAGGAGACAATCAATGAGCTTAATAATACAGGGACATACATTCATTTAATCATTGAAAACCCATTTAACTCTTGAAAATGTCCAAGACACAACAAAAGATCTTGGCACATGTCCAGAAACAGAAAAGAGTAACTCAGAAAAATGAGCTGGATGTAGGCATACACTTCCCATTAGAAGAGCAGGCTTTGGATCTGCCTGAGAAGGAATTCAAGAAAATGATATTGAGACAAATTCAAATACTTCACAGAGGGGTGCAGGAAAATAAGGAAGAAGTCAGGAAAGTGCTACAGGAGCAATAAAATAAGATAGATATAGCATTAGAAACAATTAAAAACCTGCAAAAAAAAGTTTCAAATGATTAATAATAAAATATCAGAATGGGCAATACACTGAAAGGACAAAGGAGCAGGATTGAAGAGATAGAAGCCAGAACCAGCAAGCTGGAGTACAAATCTCTAAATACTGCTAAGATAGAAGAGCAAACAGAAAAAAGGATAAAAATATCAGAAGAAAGTCTAAGATTCATGTTGGACAACACGAAGAGGAATAAGTTAAGAATTATTGGCATTCCAGAACAGGAAGAATAACACAAGTCCACAGAGGAGATAGTTGAGGAGCTACCGGAAGAAAATTTCCTTGACATTTTGAAAGGAAGAAAAGATAAA